GAACCAAAAAAGACCCCAAATAGCCACAGCAATCTTGAAAAAGAAGATCAAAGTGGGAGGGATCACATTACCAGATTTCAGGTTATACTACAAAGTGACTGTAATCAAAACAGCCTGGTACTGGCACAAGAACAGGCAGATAGATCAATGGAACAGAATAGAGAACCCGGAAATGGACCCAAGACAATATGCTCAATTAATATTTGATAAAGGTGGCAAGAGCATACAATGGAGTAAAGAGCATACAATGGAGCCTCTTTAACTTGTTAACCGAATGGGACATATTTACATGTCCTAGTGAAAGAGTTCGCGCCCGTTATATGCTGCGTAATTAAAAAGGGAATTCCCCGGTTAACAGGTTAACTACTATGTACAGACACTTTTATCACAAACATTAATAAATGGTGTTGGAAAAATTGGATGGCTACATGCAAAAAAAATGAAACTAGACCATCAACTTACACCATACACAAGAATAAACTTAAAATGGATAAAAGACTTAAATGTGACTCATGAATCCATAAAAATCCTAGAAGAAAATGTAGGCAACAAAATTTCAGACATCATACGGAGCAGAATTTTCACTGATACATCACCTAAGGCAACAGAAACAAAGGAGAAAATGAACACATGAGACTACATCAAACTCAAAAGCTTCTGCACAGCAAAAGAAACAACCACCAAAATGGAAAGGCAACCCACTCTATGGGAGAGCATAATTGCCAACAATACATCAGATAAGGGGTTAATTTCCAAAATCTATAGAGTGCTCATACAACTCAACAAAAGGAAGACAAGGAATCCAATTAAAAAATGGGCAGAGGAACTAAATAGACACCTCTCCAAACAGGACACACAAATGGCCAAGAGACATATGAAGAAATGCTCAACATCACTAATCATCAGAGTGATGCAAATTAAAACAACAATGAGGTATCACCTCACACCTGTCAGAATGGCCGCCATCAACAAATCATCAAACAAGTGTTGGTGAGGGTGTGGAGAAAAGGGGACTCTAGTACACTGCTGGTGGGAATGCAGACTGGTGCAGCCACTATGGAAAACAATATGGTGTTACGTCAAAAAATTAAAAATTGAACTGCCATTTGACCCAGTGTTCCCATTTCTAGGAATATACCCTAAGAAACCTGAAACACTAATCAGAAAGAATATATGTACCCCCATGTTCGTAGCAGCACCATTTACAATAGCTAAGATCTGGAAACAGCCCAAATGTCCATCAGTAGACGAATGGATAAAAAAGCAGTGGTACATATGCACAATGGAGTACTATGCAGCTGTAAGAAGGATCTCTTATCCTTTGAGACGACATGGAGGGACCTGGAAAGTATTATTCTAAGCAAAACAAGCCAAGCAGAAAAAGACAAATACCACATGATCTCACTTATTTGTGGAATATAATGAACATAACAGTCTGAGGAATGGGGTAGTCCCAGAGACGTGGAAGTGGTGTACAGACTGACAATCCCCAGAAGAGGGGGTAGGGGGAGAGATAAACCACAGAACTTATATGCATGTATGCATAAACAATGGACATGGACAACAAAGCTGGGGACAGGGCGGGGAGGGAGAGGGAGGGGGGAATCAGTGGGTGGGGGAGAAACATCTGTAACAAAAATAAATAAATAAATAAAAGCATAGGGTGGCTGTTGAGATGACATGGAGGGACGTGGAGAGTATTGTGCTAAGTGAAATAAGCCAATCAGAGAAAGACAAATACCGCATGATCTCACTTATTTGTGGAATACAATGAACAAAATTAGCTGATGAAAAAAATAGACCCAGAGACATAGAAAGGAGTATGGTTCAGACTGACAGATCTCAGAGGAGGGGGCGGGAGGGAGGGGTGAGATAAACCAAAGAACTTATATGCATGTATGTGTAACCAGTGGACATAGACAACAATGCTGGGGGTGGGGGTGGGGCGGCAGGATCAGAAGGGTACCTAGGTGGGGAAAAGGAGAAACATCTGTAACAAAAATAAATTAATAAAAATTGCAAAAAAAAAAAAAAAAGCATAGGGTGGCTGAATGGATAAGAAAACAAGACCCTTGCCCTGGCCGGTTCGGCTCAGTGGTTAGAGCGTTGGCCTGCGGTCCAGAGAGACCCGGGTTCGGTTCCTGCTAAGAGCACGTACCTCGGTTGCAGTTTGTCCCCGGCCCTGGTTGGTCGTGCGGGTGGCAGCCATTCGATGTGTCCCTTTCACGTCGATGTTTCTCTCTCTCTCTCTCTTCCTCCTGCTCTATCTGAACAAAAAATGAAAAAATGTCCTCGGGTGAGGATAAAACAAACAAACAAAAACACAAGACCCTTACATACGCTGTCTGCAAGAGAGTTACTTCATATTAAAAGACACAAACAGACTGAAAGTAAAGTAATGGTAAATGATATTTCATGAAAATGGAAATGAAAAACAAAGCTGGGGACGCAATACTTATACCAGACAAAACAGACTTTAAAACAAAGGATATAACAAGAGACAACAAAGAGTCCAGCAATTTCACTTTTGGTATCTGTCTGAAGAAACCCAAAACACTAACTTGAAAAGACATCATTGCAGCATTATTTACACTAGCCAAGATGCAGAAGCAACTCCAGTGTCCATCAACAGAGGAGTGGACAAAGAAGAAGTGGGGCATACATACAACGGAATATACCCAGCCACGAAAGAGAATGAAACCTTGCCGTCTGCAACAGCATGGATGGACCTGGAGGGTATTTTGCTGAGTTTAATAAGTCAGACAAAGAAAGACGAATGCCATGTGATTTCACACATATGTGGAATTTTAAAAAGAAAATAAATGAACAAGGGGAATAGAAACAGACTCATAGGTACAGAGAACGTTTTGCTGGTCGCCCGATGGGAGGGGGTTGGGGAATATGGGTAAAAAAGATGAAGGGATTAAGAAGTACAGATTGGTGATTACAGAACAGACACAAGCATGTAAGCTATAGCATGAGGAATATAGTCAATAATATTGTAATAACTATGAATGGTGTCAGATGGCTTCTAGATTTATCAGGGTAATTGCTTCAGAAGTTATATAAATGTCTAATCACTGGGTTATATACCTGAAACATAATATAATATAATATAATATAATATAATATAATATAATATAATATAATATAATATAATATAATATATTTGTACATCAACTGTAATTGAAAATAAAAAACTATTTTTTAAAATAAGAAGAAAAGAAAGGGACCCTGGAACTCCCAGGCTAACCCCCAGCTGTGCCTGCCTGACCACACCCTGAAGAGAACACCCAAGACTGAAAACTTGGGCGGGAGATCACCGCTCAGGTCACAGAGCGGCCACTGGGTGGCGCTCCCGGGTTAGATCTGAACAGCACCGCAAAGGCTGGGAAAGCGGAGCTAACTTTGGAGGTGCCTTCCACAGGGGCCGGATCGGCAGGTGCCGCAGGTGCCGTCTAACCTCACGGCTTGGCTGCCTGCCATACAGAAATGATCTACAGGTAAAGATCTTTTAGGGTAAGTGACGAAGTTGTTTGGTATGTGTCTCGTGGCGGTTCCATGAAATGATGCTTGCGTTTGAACTCCACAACCAAACGGATTTTACTGCATGAAAGGATAATTTTAAAAGAAGAAGAAAAAAAGTCAAACTGTACACGTTAAATGTATGTGATTCATTTCAGCCCAGTTATACCTTAATAACTGTTCAGAAAGGGAGCTAGGGAGGAGCCAGCGATGCCCGCGGCCCCGCCCCGCACCCTGCCTGGGTTGCTGGCTGCAGACACTGATCACCTGCACTCCCAGCCCCGGGAGAAGGCTCACCCTCAAACAAGCACCAACTCAGATGCGCCGCCTCTCCCACCCGCACACGTCCTCCCCAGAACGGGCCCAACACCCCCTTCCCGCCCTCTGCCTCCAAGCCCCCACCCAGCAAGGTCCTCGGGGTGACAGGTGGCAGGAAGGACACCCGTGGGCTTCATCCTAGGAAGGCTGATCACACAGGGCAGGCCGGAGTGGGGGCCCTGGACCTGTGACCAACATAATGACAGATTGATTTGAGTAAAGATGACAGAGAATGTCCTTTTGAGCATGTTCGAGGCTACAAAAGAGCCAATAGGCATTGTCAGTGAGGGCCGAGAGCTGATCTGGGAGCTGGGGGTGGGGGCAGGTGTGTTTGTGACGGGCCTGTGCGTGGAGGTGATGTCAGAGAGGCGGGAGAGGCTCCAGGGGTCCCAGGGCGGACTCCAGGAGATGTGGTGGGTATAGGGGTGAGACCAAGAAGAAGGACAGGGACAGGTGAGAGGAGGAGGGAGGGGAAGTTCTGGAGGAAGAGGGAGGTGAGGACGGTCCCCAGCAGCTCATAAGAATAAGCAGAGTCCACGGCGCAGTGGGTTTGCCGGGAGCCCACAGCCAGCGCCATATGCACAGATGTGGGGGGGAGCCTCCTGGACACAGTGAGGCTGAGGGCAAGACCACTCCTCCTGCCCTATACTGTCCCTAAGCCTGTGTCTGCTACTGTCCCCAAGCCTGTGTCTGCGACTGTCCCCAAGCCTGTGTCTGCTACTGTCCCCAAGCCTGTGTCTGCGACTGTCCCCAAGCCTGTGTCTGCCACTGTCCCCAAGCCTGTGTCGGCTTGAGAGTGACTCAGGCCCTGGGAGGACGCTGTCCTGAGGGTGGGCTGTGCCTCCAGCCAGACGGGGTGTCCCCCTGAATGCTCGTCCGTCCCCCAGGGCACATCCAGCGCATGTCCCTCACTCCCGGGAGCCAGCTCTGAGCTCCTGCCCGCGGCCCACTGACGTCCTGCCCCTGTTGCTGGCAGCCACCTGCTCAGCTCCTCACACTCACGCCCGCAAGGGGAACCCGGGCCGGGCCTGGACGCTTGGCTTCCCCCCAATCACTGAAGACACATCAGCCACACACGTAGATGACGACTCAGCATTCCTCCTACGGGATGCAATGAGGAAGTGACTGAAGACAGGACATACGGGAAGTAGAGGAGAGAGACAGACACAATGATTTACACACATCGAAGGCAGTTTGCCTCTGGGCTCCTTTGTTCAAGTCCCGGGTGGACACTGGGGTTTCATGGTGACAGGGACCGAACCTGGCAGCAGGACCATGTGGCTGCTCCCACCTCTGCTCCTTCTCGTTGTCCCAGGTGAGTGGGGCTGGGGTTTAGGAACCAGAATGACTGAGGCAGGGCAGGGAACCAGAGGGTCTGTCCTGAGGGACAGGGACACGTCGAGGGGGATGGCAGGGCCATCTCATCACCCTGACACTTCAATGAAAAGCAAGTTGCTGCTGTCTCCCAGGTGCTCCGTCAGGTGCCGGGAAGCAACAGAAAAGCACAGGGAACCTGAGTGCCTCTTTCCGGACAGCGATGCTCAGCCTGGCCGTGCTGCACGAGCAGGTGGACGCGCTCAGGGGCGAACCGTGTCGGGGAAGTTTTGGGGTCACAGACGCTGGGGCTCCAGCTCCGACCCACTCAGCCAGGGTGGGCTCAGGGGTCTGGATTGTGTTAAGTCTCAGCAGCTGGTGTGGCGTGTGGCTAGAACTCAGAAGCCTTCAGTGAGGTGCTCAGGTTCGGGGAGGGGACAGGATGGAGGCCAGGTGGACAGGCTGTCTGACTGTCGCTCCAGCCCACTCATCTGCCTGCCTGAGGTTCTGCTCCGGATGAGCCAAAGGCCAGACCGCTGTGTGGTGTGGTCAGTGCCGTGACGGAGTAAGGGACACCGTGGTGTGGCAGCATCAGGAGGCCGTGTTGGCTGCAGAAGCCAGAGCCTGAGAAATGACGACACTTGAGCTGAGCCTTGAGAGATGGGGGTAAGGCTTCGATTCCTTCAAGCAGAGGAGAGAATGCTCCGGTCAGAGGGAGCAGCTTCTGCAAAGGTCTGGAGACACAAAGAGTATGATTTTTAGGGTAAAAGGGAAAAAGTTTGTGTGTGAGTATGTGTGAATGTGCGAGTGTGTGTGCATGAGTGTGTGTGTTCAGTTCCTGCTACTTTACCCCATGTGTAGAGTCAGAGGGTGAGATGTGAGGTGTGTGGGTGCAGTGTCAGGGTGCGGGGGACGGAGGAGGCCAAGATGCCTACCTCTCAGCTCTAGATTCAGAAATAAACCCGTGGACTGTGGGTGGTGGGGAAGGAGGCGGTCAAGGAGGGGAGAATTTCCCAAACAGGGCGTGGGGAGTGACCAGAGGCCTCTGTAGTGGGCAGATTGGAGCCCAAAGGAGACCTTTGCAAGAGAGGGGACAGCAAAGAAATAGTGCGGGAGATCAAGGGACGAACTGGAGGTGGGGATTTGAGAGCCTAGGGCAGGGGGCAGAGGCTCCTGGTGGCCCCCAGGGAGGTGCCGAAGGAAGCCCGTCAGCCCTGGGCCCAGGAAGGAGATGGACTGGGTTGGATTTCTGTTTTGCAGGCTGTGTCTCCTCTATCTCTGGTCCGAGGTCAGTGAGCGGTTCAGAAAGGGACTCGGTGACCATTTGGTGTCACTATGACCCAGGGTATGAATCCTACAAGAAGTGGTGGTGCCTCGGAGAGGCCTGGAGTTCCTGCGAAATCCTGCTTGAGACCAGCGGGTCGGAGCAAAGGGTGCAGGGCGACCGCGTGGCCATCAAGGACGACCACTCTGCACGTGCGTTCGCCGTGACGGTAGAGAAGCTCCGGAGAAGAGACGAGGGCTTCTACTGGTGCGGCATCGAGAGGTCCGGGACAGACCTGGGTCACCAAGTTCGCGTGCTCGTTGGCCCAGGTAGGAACTGCCCCTCCTGTGCTCAGAGGCCTGGACGGACCCATGGAGAATGCAGAACTTTCCCTGTCTGCACCGACAGTGGAGAGGAGACTGCACATGTGCGTGCGTGTGCGTGTGCGTGCGCCTATGTCTGTGTGGGCCCACGTGTGCGTGCACGTGATGGGGTGGGCACCAAGAGTCTGGGAAGACCCAAAGAGCAAGGCGCGGCCTCCGTGCGTCTCCATCTATTGTACCGGGGCCGAGGGGAAGGACACACGCGACTTGCACAGGCTCGTCCAGGGAAGGCAGGTCCTCTTTTCCCGGTCTTTTGGGCATTCCGTCCACCCTCAGAGCAGCCCCAGCCTGACCAGGGCCCTTGTCAGCTGTGCAGGGCAGGGCGGGTGCTAGAAAGCCATTACCCGATTGTCTCGGCTACAGGACAAGTGGCCCTCTCCCCGACCCCTCTCTCTTTCTACCTCTCCCTCCTCCGGCTCCGTAAGAGCAAAGGAGCGCCGGCCAGCGTGGCTCAGCTGATTGAGCATCATCTCGTGCACTGAAATGTCACTGGCTCCCTTCCCAGTTGGGGCACATACCCGGGTTTCAGGTTTGGTCCCTGGTGGGGACCCATATGGGAGGCAACTGATTGATGTTTCTCTCTCTCCCTCTCCTTCCTTTCTCTCTAAAAAAAAAAAAAAAAAATGTATATATATATACACACACACATATATGTATATATATTTTAGATAGATAGATAGATAGATAGATAGATAGATAGATAGATAGATAGATATTAAGAGCAGAGGGGGCAAGGGTCTCTGAACTCATTAGTAGCAGAAGGAAAGTATTCACCCTGGTGCAGGGACCTCCCCAGCTGCCTCCGAGCCTTGGAGAGACTCTGGGCTCAGCCACACCTGCCCCGAGGCACCAGGGCCTCCCTGGAGTAGAGACCTGGAGAGTCAGGTGTAGCCCCCGCCCCACAGAGCCCTAGCCTGTGTCCACTTTGGGAATCAGGGAAACTACCCAGCTCCGATCCCATTAAGCATACAGGCAGACAGCAAACTTGACTGCTTCTGTCACCTAAACAGCTAAACCTGTGACAACGTACCCGGCTGCCCCTGAGACGACGTACCCGGCTGCACCTGAGACCACGCCCGCACTGGCCAGTCTGGCCCCCTCGCCTCCAGTAACCCAGATCGGCAACAGCAGTGTGGCTCTGACCGGTTCACTCATCAGGTGAGCAGAGCTGGGCCCCCGCAGACCCTCCCCACTGCTACCCTAAACTGCTTCCCCAGGGAAGCTCACTCAGCCGCCGCGTCTCCTGTGCAGAGGAGAAACAGCAGTCCGCACCGTGCCCCCCTGGCCTCCTTTTGACCTCTGCGTCCTTAAAGAGCTCCCCACGCCGCGTGGAACCGAAACCAAGTTCCCAGCTAGGCTGCGGGCTCTGGCCCCCTCTGGCTCCCACCCCCTAAGAAGCCAAAGGAAGTGTAGCGGGGTTCAGCCTCAAGTGCACTACTGTATTCGTGTCTTGTGAGTGCCAACTTGGTGGCTTAAAACATTTATTATCTTATAGTTCTGGAGACCAGGTGTCTGAAATGAGTCTCACTGGGCTCACATCACGGTGTTGACGGAACTGAGCTCCTCTGGAGAGTCTAGGGGAGAACCGTTCCCGACTCGTCCAGCTTTTAGAGACCACCCACATTCCTGGGCCCGTGGCCCCTGCCATCTCCCAAGCCAGCAGTTAGCGGCTGAGTCTTTCTCGCGTAGCACTGCTCTAACGTGACTCCCCTACGTCCATCTTTCCCTGGAAAGACCCTGGTGGTTACCCGGGATCCGCTCAGATAACCCAGGATAATCTCCCCATCCCTGAGTCAGCTGATGGGTGATTTTAAGTCCATTTGCAGGCTGAATTCCCCTGGCCAGGGAACATAACCTATTCAGACGTTCTGGGGGTCAGGGCATCTTTGGGGATCGTTGTTCTGCCGGCCACAGTCGCGGCTGGACATGTTTCATGACTCCAGCTCTTCTCTCCCCAAGTGCTGGGGAGACGGCAGCAAGGAGTGGGAAGCCGGGACCATCACCCTGAAGTTCACTCCCTTCAGAGGTGCCCGAAGGACACTCAACGAGTCCTTCCATCAGAGGGCAAACACCTCCCGCCCCCGATTCACCCCATCACATGACGTCCAGGGTCCAGGTCCGTGGTCTCCCTGGGTCCAGCCTTTCAGAATCACCCTCCATCGGTTCACTGCCCTGCTCCAACCCATCGCCCTTCCTTTCTCGAGGGTCCTGTTTTGTGGAGCCTGAACCCCGCCAGACAGTTTGTTCAGTGATGAGCCCGATAGAGGTGAGGTGCTTGGGGGCACCTGCCTCGTGAGCCGGCTCTGTCCTGCCCGTGGCTGTTTGGATGGCTCTTGTTTGTTGACCGAGGCCGCAGAACGCAGGACTTTCACGGAGGCCGGAGAAGCAGGAGAGAACGCTCGGTGGGGAGAGAGATGCATGCAGCAAGGGGTGGGATTTGCGAAGAGATCACACTGGGTATTTTTAGGGTGTGCCGTGCAGCTGCCTCTCTCCCTCCAGAAAACTGTTGGTGACATCGCATGACTCACCCTGCTCAAGCCAGGCTGCGGGACAGGACAAGGGTGGCCTGCGGGGCGTGGGTCCTAGCAGAGGGGATAGGACGAGGGGAATCTGATTCTCATACACTGATAGGAGCCCAGGCCCCAGTAGTCTAACCAGACCACATGTCCACTGTATGGGATAAGGTGCATCTCGGGTGTGCTCTCGGATGGGGATCAGAGCCCAGCAGAGAAGGCCAGGTTTATGGGGGTTGGGGTCTTCCTCTGCTTCAAAGATCTGGGCTTGAAAGATGAGCAGAATTTACAAAGGGAGCTACAAGGTGCAAGAAGAATAGAATACAAAGGACAGGAGAGGGCAAACCTTTAAGCCTGGCTGGACTACAGACGAGCTGACAGTGAACTGTGGACCCAGGACTGAGCCAGCAGGGAGACCCCTGACGGTTTAGCCTCTGGGCAGCATGACTGAGCCTCTCGGAGGGCCCCCGGGCCAGGGCAGGGACCGAGGCTTGCCTGCCCGGCCGGTCTGTGCTGCTGGGGGTGTGGGGTGAGGGAGAGGGCCGGGAGCCGCTCCAGGAGTCTCACCCCGTGGCCATGCTCCTGTACAGGTTCGTGCTGTGCAACATCCACCTGGTGCTCCTGACCTCCGTAAAGGTGCCCCTGCTTGTGAGTCTGCTGCTGAGCCTGCTGTGGCTGAGCAGACAGCAGGGAGACTCCCAGGGGAAATAGTCAGTCTGAGCAGAACTGCAGCTCCCACGCCATCGACACCTCGCATCGGGCTGCAGAACCTCCTGACCTCTTACCAGGGCACGGGCAGTGACTGCAGAGTCAGCGAAGACGAGGGTCCCGGCTGCAGTAAGGACTCCCCCGTCCCAGACTCGGGAACGCAGTCGGCTCCCTCCCCGCTCGGCACAGCTCCGAACCCTGGTCTCCACCGGAGGAGCAGAGAAAGGAAAAGAGGTGGTGGTTTCCTCTTGCACAGGCCTCGGAGCACCTGCCGTCTTCTCTGTGCGGGTCCTCTTGCTGCCTCTTTCCAGGGCCTCTGACCAAGATTCCGGACCGTGACACTGTCTAGGGCTCCAGCTAATGGTGGAGTCAAGATTCCAGACCAACCAATAAGCACAAAAGCTGAATTAAACCCAGAAACTTCAGAGTGTGTCTGCAAGGTCAAAGACCCCCTCCCGCCCGAGGCAGGTGCACCAAGGTCTGCTGATTCCCCTTCTGTCACGTCACTGCCTCCTGGAGAAACACCTGAACGCAGCCGCTCACAGCAGGGCTGGCCCATCGCCCAGCTCAGCTCCCATACGTCCGCGCTGTGTGCTTCGTCTGAAATCCACAGAGTTCCCGGCTCTGAGACCGCCTTGCTCGCCGCGCTGTCTCCGGACACGCCAGAGGGGGACAGGGACTCTGAACCAAGCACCAGGTCAGATCGACCTCCCAGAATGTATCTGGGAGCTGGGGAGGTTAGAGTGGAGAGCACTGGACGACACCTTTCTATCCCCTGAGAGGTCGCGGCCGGACCGACGCCCCCACCCGGTCCCCACGAGAAGATGCAGACTCGACTTGATGGCTGGAAGTGAGCTAAACAAGCGTGGGCCTTTTAAGAGAACTTTTTAAATGTTATTTTTTCTATTTTAGGAAAGGGATTATTGAGGTGTATTTAGACCTCAAAAATTACAAAGTCTTCATGTGCTAAGTTTGGTTTAATGAGTGTTTTTAAGGGTAGCCCTGGCCGGTTTGGCTCAGCGGTTAGAGCGTCGGCCTGCGGTCCGGAGAGACCCGGGTTCGGTTCCCGCTAAGGGCATATACCTCGGTTGCAGTTTATCCCCGGCCCTGGTTGGTCATGTGGGTGGCAGCCACTCGATGTGTCCCTTTCACGTCGATGTTTCTCTCTCTCTCTTCCTCCCTCTCTCCCTCCCGCTCTATCTGAAGATGAATGCAAAAATGTCCTCGAGTGAGGAGAAAAAATAATAATAATATAAGGGTAAACACCTGGGTTGTTGTCATCTCAACCAAGATACAGTGGGGTGGTGGGTATATGATTAGAGCTTTGTCAAAATTCACTGAAGTTATGCTTTTCCCCCCTGTAATTAATACATGACTTATGGGGCGGCACTTTGAAATGTCCCTGCATCTACATTGGTGGCCTCCAAGGACAGGCGACTCGCCAAGGGGTCAGGACACCAAGCAAGGAGCGCAGGTCCCTTCATGGTTCCTTGGAAGTCATACAGGATCCGTCTCGCCATGCTCTAGCCGGCATTCCCAGGGTGAAAAAATTCACTCTCTACATACAGAACACAAATAGATGAATATCTGTGTTTATATAAAAACACAGACACACACACGTATACAAAACATTAACATATATACAGTCTATCTTTGTTGTTAAAATTTCGTGGGATGGGGAAGATTTTCAGAAAAAGAAAGTATCTGCACAAATCCCTTAGGAAGAGGATGCTGGAGAAAGTGTGGAGCCCTGGCCGGTTTGGCTCAGCGGTTAGAGCGTCAGCCTACGGTCCGGAGAAAGTGTGGAGAAGCTGCTGTGTCCCTGGGGTGGAGCAGCCCCAGCCCACGCACTTCAGGGAAGGCACATAAGCCCCACTCTTAATAGGAGGAGCGTCAAGGAGTCTTCATCCATGTTTTAAAGCTGCTACATGCACGTCTGAACCTAGCACCTTCATGTCACATATGAGAACAAGGAGACCTGAAGGGGCGAGACCCCGGGTCCCCAGTCACAAGGTCAGGTGGCAGAGCTGGGTCTGTGCTGCGCCAGCCGGGGGCTGCCCACACGGCATCCCCGCAGGTCCATCTGTGCACCGAGAAGGTCAGTTCCTAAGCCTGCTGAGGGCGCCATATGGCCCCGACATAAACTCTGGGCAGGCTCAACGATGCTCTGCGATTGCCCAGCTTCACACAGGAGTCCCATCCCGCACCACGACCTGCAGGGACTCACAATATGCTTTGTTTTGACCACAATTTCTTTAATGGAGTTAGATGGGTATAGTTAGACACGGGGAATTTCACTTCTGGCTTCTCTTTTAAAAGTAGAAATGCCTGCCCCGGCCAGTTTGGCTCAGCAGTGAGAGTGTCGGCCCATGGACCAAAGGGCCCCGGGTTCGATTCTGGCCAAGGGCACATACCTCAGTTGCGATTCGTCCCCAACCCTGGTTCAGGAGGCAACCAATTGATGTGTCTCTCTCACATTGATGTTTTCCCCCCCACACACTCTCTATCTAAAGATAAATGGAAAAATATCCTCAGGTGAGGATTTAATTTTTAATTTTTTAAAATAAAATTATCCTTAAAAAATGTAGAAGTGCCTGAAAACAGTGGGCCCATGATGCCACGTGCTCCCAACCACCATCCGAGTGTTTAAAACCTTCTAGGGGCTCTCTGGAGCCTCCAGGACACCATTAATGTATATGCATTAGAAAAGAATGCATAAAAGCGTCTTTTTTGCAAATGACATAAATTGTCTAAGCAGAAGATCCCAAGGAATCTACCAAAAGACAACTAGAACTGATACGTGAGTTTACAAGGACACAGGACACAAGATCAAGACATACACACACATCGTATTTCTAGATACTGCCAATAAGCATCTAGAAACCAAAATGAAAAACACAATACTATTCACAGTTGCTCCCCCGAAAAAAAAGAAGTACCTAGGTATAAATAGACCAGAACATGAGCAACATTTTTATGCTAAAAAAATTACCAAACGCTGATGGGGGAAGTCAAAGAATATTTAAATAAACAGAGCTGCACCACGTTTGTGGATTGGAAGGCGATTCAACATAGTAAAGATTTCCATTTCACAATATTGGTCTAGAACTTTAACACAATTCCTATCAAACCCCCAACAAGATTTTTTGGTAGCTAAAGACAAGCTTACTTTAAAATGTATTCAGAAAGGCAAAGGAACTAAAATACCTAAGACCATTTTAGAAGAGAATAAAGAGGGAGGAATTCTTTGCCTGTACTGTACTCTTATGAAAGAATTGCTCAACCTGATGTTAAGACACACACACACACACACACACACACACAGAGAGAGAGAGAGAGAGAGAGAGAGAGAGAGAGAGAGCAATCCAGACAACGTGATATTAGAGGAGGAATAGACTCATAGATCAGAGGAAGAAAACATAGAACCCCAAATGCCTGGTTCTTAACTGCTGGGTCTCCAAATCCTCTGTCCTTGGTACTGAACGTTTCTCGAAGATTTCACCTCTCCTCGGGGTACAATTAACCTCTCCATACTCTTCTCCCCAGCGTCAACACCCTGCTAACCCACGACTTTCGCTCCCTGCTAGACTGCCCCGCTTGTTAACCCCAGTCACACAGAGACAGCTGAGCTCTGCTACACCCAAGCCGGCTCCTGCCTTCCCCGTTTCTGTAAATGATGCTCCGTGCTTCTGGTCTGCTAAGTCTGAGCCCTCCACAGTCACGCTTTCTTTCAGAGGACCCTACACGTCTGAGACACCCCTGTGGTCCTGTTTTGACCTGCTCAAATCCATCCAAGTGTCTCAAATCAAATCGCAAGTAAGAGCTGGGCCTACATCTCTGCCACACGCCCGCCCTTGGCTGTCCTGGGTTAGCTCCGCCTGCACTGCCACGCGGAAATGTCACTCCACCGGAGTCTCAGGCACACCCCACGCCGAGACACTCAGCACACTCCATTTGCTGGTGGGTCTTCTATGAGTGGCTGCCTCTCCCTGCTCCCCGCTCACCCCTCCTCAGCTGAAATCCTGCATTTCCTTCGCCATCATCCCTAGACATCTCTCCCAGACCCGCCCAGCTGACTAATGCTTCCCCTCCGGAGGCAACTTGCCTGTGGCTCTCTGTGGCACTTACCAGTCCCACCAGTGTGTACTCACTTGCGAGTTTATCTTTTTGTTAATTTTTTAATATGTTGTTATTGATTTTTTTAGAGCAAGAGGAAGGGAGAGAGAAATATAAACATCAATGTGAAAGAGAAACATCAAATGACTGCCTCCTGAATGTCCCCTACTGGAGATCAAGCCCACAACCTGGACATGTGCCCTGGCCAGAAATTAAACCCAGACCTCTCAGTCCATGGGACGACACTCAATCCACTGAGCCACACCGGCCGGATACAAGCTTATCTTTTTAAATAAAGTGCAGCGTAATACTCCTCTCCTGCCATCATTGCGTTTCTGCACCGCACTGTGTGTTTTATTGATATGACGAATATATGCCTCATTAGATTGAATTTCTCCTTGAGGTGCCATGAATGACCCCGCCCTCATGGGGTCCACACCAGGGCTCGGGTGTTGAACGGGACATTCCTGCCTGACAACTCAGCACTGGGACCGCTCGGAGCAGGGCTGGTCCAGATGCCAGGAGCTGGCGGGAGACGGTGATGCTGCTTGTGCAGACTGTGTAACTTGTCCCTGCAGACTTCAGGGAGGGAGCAACAGATAAGCATCCAAAGACCACCTGAGCCCTTTCCTGGGCTGGGAAGCCCAGTGGTAGCTGTGGCATCATGCCATCCAAGTGGTGAACTATTCCCCCACTTCTGTGTCCTCTACCCTATCTTTTTTGTTTCTTTGTTTGTTTTTTGTTTTTTAATTATTTTTCTCTCTACCCTATCTTTAGACAACTCTGCCTGCCTCTCCCTCGGAAAAGATTTACGGTCAACAGGTGTCCCCAGCCAGACGTCTCCTACAGGGGGTGAAGCTGGGCTCCCCACCAGCGCTGCGCACAGGAGACCTCCCCGGGTGCTGAGTTCCAGGAGAGATATTAAGGACCCCCTCTGCCTCCTTTTCCTACGTCTGTGCCAACTGACCCCAGAGCTTGAACTGGAAATTGCTTAGCCATGGCCACCCCAGGCAAAGACGTACTGAGCCCAATCACACATTCCCTGGTCACAGAGACACAAGGGGGTTGAAGCCCGGTGAGACCCAAGAGCTGTCAGAAGATGGGAAGGAACCCTGAGTGTGCAAGACAGTGGGCAGCTTCGTGGGCATGCTGTCTGGGCCAAGCTCCCCCGGGGTTGTCCCCCTTCTCCCCGAGGTGGTTACTGCCCTGGGGGACACCGAGTGAAGCTTTTGTGCAACAGAGAAGAGTGAAGAGCCAGGCTCCTGAGCGTGCAACTTCCAGAGAATACTTTTACTGGGAGGAGGGCACAGGGGCGCGGGACTAGAGGATCTGGGAAGGAGACAGGAGGACCCCACACAGGGGCCTGGAGGCTCATTTTTCCCCACTTGGGGACCAGAGTGAGTGTTCTCTGAGGTCCAGACCTCCCCGAGGCACAGGAACAATTCCCCCAGGAGGCTGGAGTCCCCCAGCTTCCAGGCACGGCCCCCCCTCCCTGCCCCGGAGTGCAGTCCGCAGGTCTCTCTTGTCCCGTCTGCAGGGCTGAGTTCCCGGACAGGGCTTCCTGGAGCTGGGGCACAGCGTGGAGGAGTCCCCTGGTCAGGCTGACTCCGTCTCTCCGGAGCCCCTCTGACACCTGCTCACCCAGAGGACAGCTCCGAGCATGCTCAGGAGCAGGGGTAGCTTCAGGCCGATCGGGAACAGGAAGTAGACAGTGCAGAGCAGAACCCTGTGGGGGACACAGTGACACAAATGAACTGCCCCTTCAGGGGAGGCCTCAGGATGCTTTGTCCCTGCTTCTCCCGGTGCCCTGGTTCTAGAGTCCAAATAACTCGGAATTAATATTTTTTTAAAAATTTTTCCTTTATTGATTTTTTAGGGAGAGAGAGAGAGAGAAACATCGATGAGAAAGAACATCGACTGGCCGCCTCCAACATGCCCCATGCCCTGCCCGGGGATCAGGCCCACACCCTGGGCATGTGCCCTGACCGGGAATCGAACAGGTGACCTCTTGGTGCCTGGGTCGACACTCAACCACTGAGCCACACCGGCCAGGCTCGGAATTAAATTTAGAAGGGAGCGCTGCAGGGCCCCTCTCTGGGACCCCTGCCACCTCTCGGGAGTCTCATTGGAAGGGGGTGGAGAAAAGAGAGGGGAGGGCCCGGGCTGCTCCTGCTTTCCTGAGCGCGTCCTGTTCTCTCTCTGTCCCTTTGCCCCTGTTTCCCGTTATCAATGGCAGCTTGAACCCCATACTGTAGAGCCCTGTCCCTCAGAGCAGGGTCAGGAAGCGGCAGCCCAGCCCTTCTTTAGTATCTTCGGGAGGAGGGGACTAGGTCCAAACTCCAGCCTGGAGCGGGCCCCTCTCCCCACAGACCCAGGCGCAGTTCCTGGCAGGGAGCAGTGTCTCCGGGAGCAAAGACCTCTGGACGCGAGCCGGGTTAGGGACCAGAGAATCGGGACTCCAGGTCCGGGACCGAGTGGGGAAGGAGAGGGACTGGCGGGGATGGAGAAGGGACGCACGGCCACCTGAAAGCAGCCTCTGCCTGTGTCCTTACAGCTGCCCCAGGGGGACGGTATTCACAGAACAAGCGACATTTTCCACTCAGAATCCCCATGTAGACTTAGAGAACGTAAAAATCAGGGCCAGAGTTGGAGGGAAACCCCACAGACACGGAGGAAAAAGGACATGGTGTGCTGCCAGCCCTCACCCCGGGGTCCCACAAGGGTCCCTCCTCCTCCATGGCCTCCAGGCCCGGGCCCTTACCCTGGACAGTGGGTACACGCTTGGCTGGTGCTGCAGTTCTGCTCAGCGATCACCGCCGGGGACGTGGGAGGTGTGCTTGGACACGTGGTCTGTACTGTGGTAGTGCGAGGTGCTGGAGATAAAACCACACGTCAGGCATCGCTGTCTCCCGGGCCGGGCACTGAGCACCTGTTTGAATCTTTATCAATGACATCTTGAATCTGGAGGGGCTCAAGCGATAGCCTGTAGCCAGACCCAGGCCACTCTACACTAACTTCACGGGGTCCCCAAAAAGCAGTTGTCCCAGAGGCTCAGCCCTTCACAGATGACCCCACACAGGCTCAGTTTTACCCATCCGCAGCCTTTGGGGTCCTTGCTGTTGGGGAATTTCTGATGGATGTGGCAGCACCCCTGCCCTCAGGGAGAGGCAGGGACCCCTGAACACTCGCTGCAGTGGAAAGTGCTGGGCGCTGGGGTGCAACTCCCCCGGGTGCGGGAACTCCAGCAGGAGCCAAGGAGGAAGCGCACCGCACCCACCTCCGGGAAGCAGATGCAGGGAGAGGAGACGCAGGGGCGCATGGGGGAGGCTGCAGGGTTTCGAGATGGCTTGAGAGTAGGAGACATGAGCATGTTTATAGGTCGAGGTAAAGAGCAGTGAGGAGGAGGAGGCCGAGGATGGGGGAAGGTGTAGCTCGTGGATGGAGAAAGGATACCGACAGCCAAGAGGGAACTTGGCTCCAGGGGCCGGGGAGGCGAGGAGCCACGGGGGAGGAGCCAGCCGCAGGATGATTGCTCTTGGTCTGGAGGAGAAAGCTTTGCCCTCAACCTAAAAGGGGAAGAGGGGAGAACGGGTGAGGCTGCAGGGGAGTTTGCTGGTGAAGAAGGACAGAGATTGAGGGAGCTCAGTCTGATACCCCGTGTGGCAGCAGAATGGAAGGGTGATACTAGACACCCTGAACATGGTGACTTTTTTCCAGCAGTCCTGGAGCAGGGAGGTTTTAGGTCTGCCTGGGACTTTTCTACTGCTACCAAAGCCCCACACCCCAAGGATCCTCTCAATTCTGGGCAAACCCCAATGGTTGGTCACCCTAATTTCAGGATGGATTCAGGGATGAGGATTTTGAAGGGTAGCTAGGGAAACAGTGGCAGAAAGTTGAGGTCAAGAGAAAAAATATATAGCCCTGGCCAGTTTGGCTCAGCGGTGAGAGTGTCGGCCTGCGGTCCAGAGAGACCCGGGTTCAGTTCCCGCTGGGGGCACGTGCCTAGGTTGCAGTTTGTCCCCGGCCCTGGTTGGTCGTGTGGATGGCAGCCACTCGATGTGTCCCTTTCACGTCAATGTTTCTCTCTCTCTCTCTTCCTCTCTCTCCCTTCCACTCTATCTGAACAAAAAAAACGGGGGGGAAGAAGAGAGAGAAAAAATATATTGTCTACCATGAGGGTTGGAACTGGCTTGGGAGGCTGGGGATCAGGGCGGGGCGGGGTGGCAATAAATTGGGAGAACAGGGAGAAGGGTCAAAGGCCTGGGGTGCATGTGAGGTTGAGAATGGGGACAACGGGGCTGAGACTACAGGAGGACGGATAAGTGGAAGGTTGTTAGGAAGTAGGATGTGTGAGGAATGAGAACAGGGTCTGGACGTTTGGGGTGGACCAGTTCGGGGTGATGAGATGGGAATGCTGTCGTGGGGTAGGATTCTGAGACAGAGTGGCCATGCAGGCCACGGAAGTCGAGAAGGTCATGGGCCCTGAGACAGTGGCGTTTGCCAAGTTATTCACTAAAGCTTCCTAATGACGGGGGTTGGGGTGGAGAAGCTGCCAGGTCTCCGGTGAATGTGGAGGTGTAACCTGGAAGTCACCAGGTGGCCATGTCAAGGAAAGGTAGAGGGTGGACCACGAGACACAAATCATAAAGGAAGCAGGCGGGAAAGTAATAGGTTGGAAGTTGTGATGAGGACCTGGGAGAGTGTGGACACAGCTTCACGGCCCCGTGGCCTACGGGGGGCAGGGGATAGGACCTTCCACGCAGAAAGCCTACGTCTTGCAACGAGAGGCGAGAGGCCCGTTTTAGGACAACGTGGTGGAGGGGAAGTCTTGTGAGCAAACTGAAGATATATGTATAAAGAGTGTATTTCCTTTGACACAGGTTTCTGAAGGGCTTGGTGGAAGTAGTCTTGGCACAGCATGGAGGGTCTTCCCAACAAAGAGGTGAGACCCCGACCCACGCCCAGGCTGAAGGATCAGCCCCCTCTCCCCCTGCCCACATCACAGCCTCCCCCAACTTACTGAGACTGAGTACAAGGTAGGACCCAGAGACATGATTCAGTATAGCCCTGTTCTTGTCGCCACATCCAGTCATCTTCTATGAGGGGAACTCTTACCTGGGGAAACAGACACCTGAACCTGGAACGAGGGGTCACGGGACCAGGCATCCAGGATCCACACTTTCTGAATTTTACACCAGTAGGATCCAGCATCAGCTGCACTGAGGTTGCTCATGGTCACTGTGACAGTGAGGTCATCAGCGTTGTCTCTGATGGACACACGGCCATTTCTCTCTTCTTGTTCTTTTCCCTTGGTCTCCACAATCTTGTCACAGTCTGTGTCGTACTGTCCTTGGCACCAGTATTTATTATACCCCTTATAATAATTCTCGTACCAACAGCGTATGGTCAGGGAGTCCCCTGCGGTGCCCGTCACAAAGCGGGGGCCCGTCAGGGACAAACAGCCTAGAAAACAAAAACCACGTCTCAAGACTTCACCCTGATGGACCCCAGTAATGGCAGCAGCATCTGCCTGAGAGCCCAGGGGGGAAGTTGCCAGGGAGGTATGGACGGGGCTGGGCTTGGGGATTGGGACCTGTAGGGACACCTAATTGTAGGACCTAGGCTAGAGGGTCTAGAGACTTCAGTCAGCGAGAGGAGTAGAGACCTGTGTTCTGGGAGCCAGGAAACACGAAGTAGCCCTGTCCCCTGGACGGGAGAGAGAGCTGGCTGTCCTTCCCTGTCCTGAGCCCGCAGCCTCTGCCAGGTGTGATACTTGGCCATGTATCCAAACACTCCCCTTTGGAGTGAGGTCTCTGCAGTCTAGGCTTTCTGCAACTCGGACTTGTTCTTTAAGAGTTCATGTCTGTTTACTCCCCTTCCCATGTGTCCTGGAGGGAGGGAAGATACATTTCTGCTCTGACTACTCTCCAGGGAGGCTCAACACACTCTGTCTGCCTTACACCTGGCTGTTGAGAAAGGCCGGGTCCCAGGGAGCCCCTATTGGGCTTCCTGATGCAGATTTGGGGCCTGAGCTGACCAGCTGAAATCATAGCCCCCACAGTCTGCAAAGATAGGAGGGGGCTGAGCCAGGAGCTGGGATGAAAAAGGAGACCAGAAATGTAACTCTTTTCAGGGGGCTTTGAGGTTTTGATCTGAGCCCCAGCTGCAGAGTACCCTGGAGGAGTCTGAGGGGTGGGGGGAGTCAGCCAGCCGCCCCCGGAGGGTGGAAGTGTTTTCCGTCATTGGTTCCCCGCACCCAGCAAGGGCATTTAGGTCACTGTATGTCATTTAAGCAAGCAGTGACATGCTGGACAACCAGCTCTCTGAGGGGCTCCGGGAGAGAAGCCCCGAGTTGTCGTGTCTGCCCGTTTCCCGGCGTCGGCGCTCCCCCGTGACTGATTCAGGCTAACCACATGGGGTCGCTGAACGTGGAGCTGGGGAAACACACTCCTCATCGGCTCTCCTGAGCCGGCAAGCGGGCTCGGCCACCAGCCCTCTGGCTTCCCGTTTCATCCATTATGGTGATGCACAAAGTTCCATCCACGGTCATCATCGTCATCTTGGAGGACATTCCCAGCACCTCCCATGTGTACTGAAATGCATCTCTTAAATGTCTTTTTGAGTCTAAGACTGGATTGTGAGGTTTGGGGGACACCCTGAAGATCAGCCAGTCCACTCACTCATTCCCCTTACCAGAAGCCACGCAGGGTCAGGGTTACCCAGCTAGTTTCTCTTCACTCTCTGCCTTTCCACCTGCTTTTCTGGAAGAGTCTGTCATTGTGCAGGGCGGGTGCTACGCTTTGTTAGGGAACCCAACCATGACAACTATTCTACAGACATGAAGAATTTCCTCTCCTTTTTATCCTGAACCTACTTGCCATGGGGGGGGGTGGTGCCCTCACGCATTTAGAATGTCTTTTGTAAGAGTTTGTCCTCTGAAAGTCCAGCCTTTGACAGACAACTTTATTTACTTGCTCACCACACCTTGACTCTAAAAAAAAAAAAATGTAAGGTGGATGCTGAGGATGGTGTTTCAGGCCCTCCATTAACTCTCTCTAACGAATCTTCCAACCCCTTGCAACTAAACTTCAACAAAACAGAACCATGGCCACCCCTGAAGTCTGCACGATCTCTCCTAGCGCACACTTTCGCTTAAACTGTTCTCCTCTCCACTCCTTCTTCCAGACCAATGTCAGGCGACACCCTGGTGGAGACTCGCATCCTTCCAACAGCAGAGTTAGGGGTCCCCGATGCCCACTCTCGTCACCATGAGAATGAGTCTCACCTATAACAAGTTCCAAGCTGTGTCATAATTACTTGACTTCCTCACTCAAACATGAGCCCCTGGGTGCACAAGGTGCTCTTGATTACAACGTCTGGACCCCTCCTGGCACACAGCTGTGCTCAGGAAGTGTATGCAGGATCTGTGGGTGAATGTGTTTTTTTTTGTTTTTTGTTTTGCTTTTTTTTTTTATCCTCACCCGAGGACATTCCTCCATTTTTTGTACTGATAGAGTGGGAGGGAGAGAGAGGAAGGGAGAGAGAGAAACATCGACGTGAAGGGACACATCGAGTGGCTGCCACCCGCACGACCAACCAGGGCCGGGGACAAACTGCAACAGAGGTACGTGCCCTTAGTGGGGACCAAACCCGGGTCTCTCCGGACCGCAGGCCGACGCTCTAACCGCTGAGCCAAACCGGCCAGGGCTGTGGGTGAATGTTTAAATGCATAGAAGAATATACAGGTGGCTGGATGGATGGGTCCTTCCCATTTCTGCCGTCACTTTGCCTCTGGCTGGAATCCAGCGCATACCTTCCACCTTCTTTCCCGCCCCTGTAACAGAAGGCTCCCCAAGCCCCCGCCCGCTCACCTGGGAGGCAGAGGAGGAGCAGAGCTGGAGACAGCCACATGGTCCTCTATCCCTGGCTGCTGTCCCCAGCAAATCCAAGTCCTGGCTGGAATCCAGATGTTTGCAACACAATCTGGGTCGCTCACCCTGTACTTGTTCGAGTTTCCTCCGTGCTTCTGTGTCATCTACTTCCTTTTTCACCTCTAAGCTGCTTCCCAATTTGAAGACTTATTAGAGAAAGGGGAAGAGGGAAAGAGACATGTCAGAAATTAAACTATGCACAAGAAAAATCTGCTGGTTTTTCCCCTACTTGGTGACAATATAATGTTTGGGCCACACCCTGAGCCTTCATGCAAGTCAATCCCAATATGTGAAACCCTCACCCGAGGAGACCCTGTGTCCCTGACTGTCTCTTCTTCCTGCCTGAGACTGTTCCTTGATCTAATCAGTGCCCCTCTCTCCGGCTGGTCACTTTTGCATCATAAGACACCCCCACTTAAATATCTGGGCTGGTGCCCTGGCTGGAGTGTCGGCCTGCAGACCAGAGAGTCCCGGGTTCGGTTCCCACCAAGGGCTTGTATCACGGTTGCAGTTTGTCCCCGACCCCTATTGGAGTCATGTGGGTGGCAACCACTAGGTGTGTCTCTCTCACATCGATGTTTCTCTCTTTCTCTCCCTCCCTCCCTCCCTCCTGCTCTATCTCAAGATAAATGAAAAAAAAAAAAAAAAGTCCTCAGGTGAGGGTTAAAAAACACATATATCTGGGGTGAGGACCCCACTATGTGTCTCTCAACTATTACCTCCATGCGAATGACCTCATACCTCTTCATCAAACCTAATGCCCTTCCTGGGCACCATACCCGATTTTTGGACTTCCCAAGGGGAACGTCCTCCTGGTTGTACACTACTAGTCTAATTCAGTATAAGGGTGTTGGTTAAGAACATAAATTTGAGCCCAGACTCAAGTCCCATCTCCATCATTTACTAACCATGTGCCCGTGGGCGTGTTGCTAAGCGAGCCTCTCCCCGGTGTCCTCCTCAAGCAGAGTGACAGTGACCATCCTTACCTCATAGGAATGGCTGCGTGAGCGCAAGGAAGGTGCTTGGCACAGGATCTGGGATATAGCAACCGCTCAGTAGATGCTAAATGTCTCTAGAATAGTCCTGGACGTTTAAAATCGCTTCTCAGCTGGTCTCTCGGCCAGCTGCATGCGCCCTGCAGTCCGCTTACATGCCGGAGTATATGCTTCTCCAAGACACAGGTGCCTGCAATATAACCCAGTGATGATCCCATCGGTGGTTGTCTCTTTCCCCAGAGGTCCATATCCATGGTCTTAAACTTCATTACCTTTTATTTCTTTTTTATTCTTACCCAAGGACATTTTTTTCATTTTTTGTTCAGATAGAGTGGGAGGGAGAGAGCGAAAGAGAGAGAGAAAGAAACATCGACGTGAAAGGGACACATCGAGTGGCTGCCACCCACACAACCCAACCAGGGCCGGGGACAAACTGCAACCGAGGTACGTGCTCTTAGCGGGATCCGAACCTGGGTCTCTGTGGACTGCAGGCCAACGCTCTAACCGCTGAGCCAAACTGGCCAGGGCACTATCTTTTATTTTTTATTATTATTATTTTTTAATCCTCACCCAAGGATATTTTTCCATTTATCTGCAGATAGAGTGGGAGGGAGAGAGAGAGAAGCATCAATGTGAGAGAGACACATTCCCTGGTTGCTCCCACACAACCCTGACCAGGGCTGGAACCAAACCTCAACCGAGATACGTGCCCTTGACCGGAATCGAACTTGTGACTCCTCAGTCTTCGGGCTGACGCTCTCACCGCTGAGCCACACTGGCTGGGGCCACTTCGTTATCTTTTAGAACTCCCTGCCCAGCCATCTGCCATTTCTAACTGTTGCTGTAAGATACGACTTACCTTTTCTCTTTCACCACATGTAATGAAATGTGGTAGATAGGTTGAGCCCTAGACCCAACCAAGCACATGGGCACTGACAACATTCTATTTCTTGGCTCCTTTGGTAGTGGTATAAACATTGCTTTGAAATTATTCTGCAAGCTACACATGTGTGTTATGTGCAGTCTTCTCTAGGTATGATATATTTTACAATTAAATGCATATATGTATGTACCTTATATACTAAATGCAGTTGAATACACACACACACACACAATGGAATAATGTCTATGGGATTTTGAGAGAGAAAAAAATCAAAGCCCACAAATGTTAAACCTCATAGAGAAAAAGAGGCATTTTGAAAACGCCAGAACTTTAAAGGACACTATCCATGTAAATTGTATTTTTATAAAAATGACTCAGCGCTCCACCCAACTGAGAAATCAACCCAAAGGATTTGCATTTGAGGAAGATGTGGTTTAAAGGCAATAATAGTATGAAACAAAATCAGTTAAACCTTGAAATGTATGTCTAAATCATTATCGATATGGTTATTGCCTTTATTAAAAATGCTAACACTAATTCTTGGAAGTAGACACATAATTTTTTTCATTGGAAATTTGTTTGAAAGCTGCTTTTCCATCTGCAATCTATTTTTGGGTCATTCACAGAACATCCCCCAGTGAAGGTCTCTTCTTATTTATTTATTTATTTGGGCCAAGAATGTTTTCTTTTGCTGCTGTAATTCATTGCATAACTCACTTCAAGTTCAAAGTGAAATTTGTGGAAAGCAGACCCGTTATTGTTATATCCCACCTGCTTGTCAAAGAACAACCAAGAGACGGGGCTTTGATTTGTGTAGCAACAAAGAAATGCCGATGGAAATATGTATTCTTGCAGTGTGCCTCACTCAGCACCAATTCAACCGACCCGCACCAAGGCTGGGGAACACAAAGATCAACAGGGCAGCCCCCGGTGGGACTTGAAATCCGGCAGGCAACCACCCGTAACACCATGTGATCGAGTGATCCCGGAGGAGGGGTGTGACCAGCTGTGACTGGACAGTTCAGGGGAGCTTCCCGGAGGAGGTGATGCTGGAACGAGGTCTTAGGAGAGGAAAAGATTTTTACAGCCAGACCAATTGCTTAGAAGAAATCAGAAAGAGAAGGTCGGGGCTGGATCAGTTCGTTGTGGCGGAGCACAGGATGCCGTGGGGGTGGGGAGTGATAAAGTTACAGGGGCCAGCACAGGTATGGCTCACGGAGGACATTGAACTTTACCCTGGAAGTGACAGGTAGCACCCTTAGCAAAGGAGCCTTGAACAGTTCGAGCTTTGAAAAGAGGTTTCTCCTGCAGGGATATGTGGGATGAACTGCAAAGAGGAGAGTCTGGTAATAAAAAGCTGAACCATGAGCGTGGATGTGAGAATTAACAAAGCAAGAAAAATGTGAGAGCCACTAAATAAAGGTAGAATTGCTAAGATTTTTGATCCACTGGAGGTGGAGAATAAGGAGCCCCAAATAATCAAGGGCGTCTAGCTTTGGCGTGGGGGACACCGTGAACTGGGCTAGGGAAGCGGGGGGGAGCAGACTGAGCAGGAAATGAGAAGTTTGGGCCGACGCACGGGCGTTGGAGAAGCTTTAGGGACAGTCATGGAAAGAGCTCCAGGTCGAGGTCCGAGGCAGGTGGCAGGTAGACACATTGATCGGAGAGTCTGCCAGAGGAACTTAGTGACACCAGCAGAATTGATGAGACAGTGTGGGAGGAGAATATTCTCCAACGTGAGGGTGCATCAGAACCGCAAGGATGCCGGAGAGAATCTCGCCTGCAGAGCAAGGAGACGGGGCCTTGGCGTTTGAGGGGTTGGTCCAGGAAGAGGCGTCGATGAAGAAAACCAAGAAATTGAGTGTATGAGAAGAAGAGAACCAGGGGACGGGACGTGGCGAAGTTCCCCACGGGGAGCCGGCCACAATGGCAAATGAGACAGATGGGAAAGCAGGAGGATCTCAGAACCAGCGGGTCTGAGAAACGGCCCCACACTGCACCGTGCCTTCTAAATCTGGCCCGCAGTTTCAGTTCCTAGATTCCACAGAAGTTTCGGTGTGAGCTCACACATGCATGAGGGTGAGTGTCCCAGAAAACTGAGGGGTGTAAACAATGGTGAGAGGCAGGCCCGAAAGCAGCTCAAGGCTGCCTGTGGTCATTGGTCAGGAGGCCGCAAGACAGAGAGTGCGGTGTCCCCTAAACCTACGGGCAAGGCTGGACGAACAGGTCACTGGAACCGTAGAGAGAGTCCGGAAAGGAACCGACATACACATCCAATTGAGGTTCGACCAAGACACCAAGGAGTCCGATGGAAAAGGACAAACCATGCCAGAAAAAATAAATATCCACGTGGGAAAAATGAACCTTGACCTCTCCTCATTATATAGACACCAATTAATTAAAATTAATTTTAAAATGGTCATGAACCTAAACAAATAAGAGCCAGATCCATAAGGCTTTTAACAGAAAAGCTTAAGAGAATATCTTTGCAACCTTGAACTAGGCAACTGTTTTCTTCAGACACAAAAGACACCGGCATAAATTACAGATGGGATTTCAACAAAATTTAAATGTTCTGTTCAAGCCCGGCTGGTGTGGCTCAGTGGCTGAGCGTTGACCCTGCACCAAGAGGTCGCCGGTTCAATTCCCAGTCGGGGCACATGCCCAGGTTGTGGGTCCGACCCCCAGTGGGGGACATGTGGGAGGTGGCCAATCGATGTTCTCTCTCATCGATGTTTCTCTCTCTCTCCCTCTTCCTTCCTCTCTCTCTAAAATCAATAAAGGAAAAATAAATTAAGATAAAATGTTCTGTTCAGTAAGAGACATCATTTAGAAAACGAGAGGCAGGCCCAAGGCTGGGGGAAAAGATACGCAACACACGCATCTCGCCACGACCGTTAGCCACAGGACTTTTAGAATATTTAAAGAACTCTTACAACTTACTAATAAAACGGCAAGCAACTCAATTTTTAAAAATAGGTCCAAGAGTCCTGGCCAGTTTGGCTCAGCGGTTACAGAGTCGGCCTGCGGTCCAGGGAGACCCGGGTTCGGTTCCCACTAAGGGCATGTACCTCGGTTGCAGTTTGCCCCCAGCCCTGGTTGGTCGTGCGGGTGGCAGCCACTCGGTGTGTCCCTTTCACGTCGATGTTTCTCTCTCTCTTCCTCTCTCTCCTTCCCACTCTATCTGAACAAAAAAATGGAAAAATGTCCTCGGGTGAGGATAAAAAAAAAAAAAAAATAGGTCCAGGAGCTCTGGCGGGTTTAGCTCAGTGGTTAGAGTGCCGCCTCCCCCCGCCCCCCTCCCCGCCCCAACCAAAGAGTTTCAGGTTCGATTCTGGTCAAGGGCACGTACCTCGGTTGCAGTTGGGTCCCCAGCCCTGGTCGGGGTCGTGTGGGAGGCAACCAATCCATGTGTCTCTCTCTCTCTCTCCCTCCCTGCTACTCTATCTGAAAATAAATGGAAAAATATCCTCGGGTGAGGATATAAAATAAAATACCCTCCCCCACCTCCAAAAAAGTAGGCCAAAGGTGTAAACGGAGGCATGCGGAAGGGCTTCGGCGCCACCGTCACCGGAGAAATGCCAGACCACGTGAGAACGGTGGGGCAGGCTGCACACACACGCGAACGTACTCAAGCCGCTGAGCTGCAGCCTCAAAGCGGCTCACGCGGTAACTTTTCTGTTATGTCTATCTTATCACAATGTTTTTTAAAAAGAACGGGAAACAGGCACATAGGTCTGTAAGAGATCGCCTCTGCTCACAAGATCAGAATCTCCCGATTTCGCCATCCGCACGTACAGACCCACCCTCACCCTATCTGCTTTCCTAGCTAATAGATCTCTGGTGTCATCGCTAACTTTAATCGTCGGATATGTTTTATTTGCCACATACGGTAGTAA